ATTTGGAATTGAGATACGTAATGTCAAATGCGTCAGATGTGGAGCCTTTGGCCATCAGAGTGGTGATCGTGAATGTCCATTGAAAGATGCTATTATGCCAAATGAAGAGAGTCGAATAAAAAGAGATGATCCTTTAACTGCTATCCTGGCTCAGACAGATGCTTCTGAGGTAAATGGGCTATGTTTATGTGTGCGTGCATGGTTTTTTTCCTTTTTCTCCACCACAAGCTAAAGTGGTCTGTTTGCGCGTCCATGTTTTACTTTTTCTTACATAGCCATTATGACTGGACCAGTTGACCTCCCACCAAAAAAAAAAAAAAGAGAAACAGAAAAGTTTGTGATAGAGGGGTTGAAACAGTGAATTTAATGGAGATAGGTTAAGAATTTGTTTCCCACGTTCCAGTATGCTGAAAAGCTTCAATTTTCAAAGAAAAATAACTTGTTAAAAACATTTGGCTAAAAGGAAGTAGGAATTAGAGGGCTGGAAATTCTCCTTTAGAGAAAGGAATCATATTATGGAGTAGATCTAGCTTTTTTCAGAGAAGGGGAGTCATATTTTGGTGTAGATTCTTAACTTTTTGGTATACTGCTTGTTTACAGGAGAATTTTTCCATTATTAATAAGATTATTTATCTTGTAAAAGAAATGCTCCTTTAGAGAAGCATATGCTCTGGGGTAGAGCCTCCTCTATTCATTGTTGATGCAATTTCACTTAAAGCATCCGTAAGTTGATCCATAAGGATGCCAAGAGACATCTTCTCTTCCGGAGGATATGTACTTGGAGCTCTAAGCTTGGAAGGATGCTCTATTTCTTGTAGTCGGTAGAAAACAAGGTATAGATCTGTCTCATCTTTCCAATTGTACAGTTCATTAAGTTTCCAAGTTTTAGGCTCTGTTTCATTTTTCCATCTAAACCTCTAGGGTTACAATTTGCCATCATAGAAGTTCAACTCATTGTACACTAACCACTTTCAAGGGGCAAACTGGTCAGTATAGAAAACGAAAGAGAAAAGGATTAGCTGAATCAATTTTGTTGAGTTATATATTGTTCCACATACTCTCTTTAAGGACATGCCCTTTGTAAGGGCATCTGAAAGGGTTTATAAAGGTTTTGAACTACATCCGTTGTCTAAAAGTGTTGGGTTGGATACTCATATTGTTTCATGCATTGTCAAAATCAACTTTTGAGACACTCATTTTTGCACGTGTATGTATACAATCGTATCCAAGTGTGAACTTCAATATTGTGAAGTTCACATAAGAACCTCAAAATTGGGTTGCACATGTTGGAGGAAGTTGAAGTATATGACATCCCACATGGGGTACATTAGGGAACTCTTAAAGGTTTATAAAGGTCTTGGTCTACTCTTCTATCATTACCTTAATGTTTTTAGTTGGGTACCTACTGCCTAGATTTTCCACCAGCTCGTCAAAACAATCGAAAGAAATGAACACCCCTCCCTCCTCCACACACACAAAAAAAAAGGAAATGGACTAAAAAATAATGTTGCAAATTATGTGTAGTTATCATGGAAAACCAAAGTCTTAAACTTCATTAATTAAGGGGTAGAGAGTCTTAATTAAGACGTGAACGTGGCCTAGGAGAATTGGAAAGGAATGGCCATGGCAAATTCTGTGGAAAAAAAAGCCCCTGAGTAAGTATCTTATTTTGGTTGTATGAAGTTCGTCTAACACCAGAACACTTGAGAAGAAGGGGACTGAATGATACAAAACGCCTATCTTTGCATAGCGGAGTTGCAAGGGAGCTATACTATATGCTCTTGTTTTACAAGATATGGTGTTCTCTTTGCGCTTGGGGTGATGACGCAGCTAGTGAGGTTCTAACTGAGGAGCGTATGTTGCTGGTTTAAAAATCATCAGCTCATTTTATATGAGTGATTGACTATACACAGAGTTAAGATGTTAAATTAACGTATATTGTATTTTAGTACTAATGGAAGATGGTATTGAAAATATTGTCGAAATGTTAATTTGATAAAGAGAATATCACATCAAAGTTAAAGTTGTTAAAGGTGTATTGAAATGGAATGATGTCAGGCATTTTGAGACGTTCCAAAATGCAAAGAGAGTGATATAAATTGGGATTGGGAAGGAGTATAGATTTTTAAATTTTTGGGCATCAGTTGGTGATGCCAAGAACTTTCTAGGAGAAGTCTTTTGGAGCTGGTATGGGAAGAAGACTTCAAAACAACTGCTGAAAGCATGATTCACAATTCCAGTCGGCATTGGAAGGAAGGAAAGGAATCTCAAATGTTTGAAAGAAAAGCTTAAGCTCTTTGTCAGACTACTCTGGCAGGCACCAAGGCGACTGGTGGTGGAATGACGTAGTCCAAGGCAAAGTGGAGGCGAAGAAGGAAGCGTATATGAAGTTGGTAGGGAGCACAAGCGAGGAGGAGAGGAGAGCGAATAGAGAGAGGTACAAGGTAGCAAGAAAGGAGGTTAAGCTGGCGATCACAGAGGCTAAGAATACAGCGTTTGGCCGGCTGTATGAGGAACTGGGGAAAAAGGCGGGGATAAGAAGTTGTTTCGGCTAGCTAAAGCGAGGGAGAGGAAGGCTCGAGATCTGGATCAAGTGAGGTGCATCAAAGACGAAGACGGTAAAGTCTTGATGGGGGAGTCCCAGATTAAATAGAGATGGCAGACGTACTTTTAGGGTCTTCTAAATGAGGAAGGGGACCGAGATATAGTGCTAGGGGATCTGGGGCATTCAGAGAGTCTCCGAGACTTTGGGTATTGTAGGCGTATTAAGTTGGAGGAGATCGTGGAGGCTATGCGTAAGATGAGTAGGGCAAGAGCGACCGGGCCAGATGAAATTCCGGTTGAGTTCTAGAAGTGTGTGGGTAGAGCAGGCTTGGAATGGCTGACTGGGCTGTTTAATGTTATTTTCAGGACGAAGAGGATGCCAGATGAGTGGAGCTGGAGTACAGTGGTTCCGTTGTACAAGAACAAAGGTGATATTCAGTGTTGTAACAACTATAGGGGTATCAAGTTACTAAGTCATACAATGAATATTTAGGAGAGGGTGGTCGAGGTGAGGGTGAGGAAGATAATGTTTATATCTGACAACCAGTTCGGGTTCATGCCGAGTCGCTCGACTACGGAAGCTATCCACCTTATTAGGAGGTTGGTGGAACAGTACAGGGATCGGAAGAAAGATCTGCACATGGTGTTAAAGCGTATGACAAGGTCCCTAGGGAGGTGCTATGGAGATGTCTGGAGGTAAAAGGTGTGTCGGTAGCTTATGTTAGAGCGATCAAGGACATGTATGATGGAGCTAAGACTAGGTTAAGGACTGTGGGAGGCGACTCGGAGCATTTCTCGGTTGTTATGGGGTTACACCAAGGATCTGCGCTTAGCCCGTTCTTATTTGCCTTAGTAATGGATGCACTAACACACCATGTTCAAGGGGAAGTGCCATGCTGTATGTTATTCGCTGATGACAGTCTTGATTGATGAGACGTGGGACAGTGTTAACGAGAGGTTGGAGGTTTGAAAACAGGCTCTCGAGTCTAAGGGTTTCAAATTGAGTAGGACTAAGACAGAGTACCTGGAGTGCAAGTTCAGTGCCGAGTCGAGGGAAGTAGGCATGGAAGTGAGGCTTGGATCATAGGTCATCCCCAAGAGAGGTAGTTTCAAGTACCTTGGGTCGGTTATTCAAGGGGATGGAGAGATCGACGAGGACGTCACTCACCGCATAGGAGTGGGGTGGATGAAATGAGGCTAGCAGCTGGAGTCTTATGTGACAAAAAAGTGCCACCGATACTCAAAGGTAAGTTTTATAGGGCAGTGGCTAGACCGACCATGTTGTATGGGGCAGAGTGTTGGCCGGTTAAGAACTCTCATATCCAGAAGATGAAGGTAGCTAAGATGAGGATGTTGAGGTGGATGTGCGGGCACACTAGAATAGATAAGATTAGGAATGAAGATATTTGGGAGAAGGTGGGCGTGGCCCCTGTGGATGACAAGATGCGGGAAGCGAAGCTCAGATGGTTCGAGCACATGCGGAGGAGAAGCCTGGATGCTCCGGTGAGGAGGTGTGAGCGGTTGGCTTTGGTTGGTACGAGAAGAGGTAGAGGACGGCCTAAGAAGTATTGGGGAGAGGTGATCAGGCAGAACATGGCACAATTGCAGATTTCCAAGGACATGACCCTTGATAGGAAGGTATAGAGGTCGAACATTAGGGTTGTAGGCTAGGGTGGTAGTCGAGCTTCTCCTTCTCCATTCCGGGGGTAAAGCGAGTTTGAGTAGGTTGGTCTTAGACGGCTTGTGGTTAATGTAGAGTCCACACTACCCTTATTGTTTTCCATAGCTTTGGACCTTAGTTGCTGGTTATTATTATTACATGTCATCTATTTTATGGTTTTTAGGATGCTGTCACCCTTTCTATGGTTATGTCGACGATACTGATGAATTGTTTTTTCTTGTTTTATTTCCATCTTCCTGAGCCGAGGGTCTATCAGAAACAGTCTCTTTGCCCTATCGGGGTAGGGGTAAGGTCTGCGTACACACTATCCTCCCCAGACCCCACTTAGTGGGACTTCACTGGGTCGTTGTTGTTCATGAACTTTTGATTTCATTGTCTCCCTGCAGGGGTAAGCCTGACTTGTTCATAACTTCCAGCAGTTCCTTAGTGCTAAAGTTGTGAATACAAAGTTATCTTTTTAAAAAGACAAGGTGTAGAGAGTTGCCAAGATTGCGCCCCCCTCTTCTGCCAATATGTTGCAGATTACTCTTTGAGATGAATACCAAACAATTTATGAAATAATGATAAGAGTAGCATGGATTCAAGATCAAATTGTAAAGCTTAATGAGCGTGTGCCACAAACAGAAATGAGCATTGGCTGCTCATGTGCATTTAGTGAACCTGGTAAGAGGTTGATGCTTGATCTTCAAAAGCCCATTCCCTTCTACAGTCCTTTAACAATGGGTGCAACCTGGGAGAGCAGGGTTCAAATGTCAGTAGAGACAAAATACTAGGTGAAATTCTTCTCATCCACCTAAGCCTTGGTGGGTAGAGTTACCCGATTCCTGAGTTGGTGGAAGGTACCATGTACTTGGTGGAATAGTCAAGATGCGGACACCACCATTTGTTAAAAATAAAGAAAGAAGAGATTGGTGATAAGATTCTGCACTCCTTCAAACTATAGAAGGATGTGCTCTTTTTTGATGTATTCTATCAGTACCTTCTTGGTACCTTTTCAATAAAATCTTTACCTTTCCATTTAAAAAAGAAAAGAAAAAGAAGAGACTGGCGATAAGATTCATCTGGTGCAACTCAAGTTAACTGTTGAGTGCCAATGTGGCATGGAAGACATTAGAGGGATCATCCTCTTTGCTCTTGGCAATATTTTTTGGACTCAAAAACATCCATGTTCTTTTAGCCCCTGCAGAATAGGGCCGACAAAGATCACATTTGGTGAAGAATCTCCACCCCTGTTTATTTTAACGGAATGTTTGGGAACTGGCTAAAAGTGGACCACTTTGACAAACATTGTTGACTATTGGTGCTCCAAGTAAAAGAATATGGATGTTTTGAGTCCAAACCCAAAGATAGTGGACAGTTTGGGGCCTTTCTCCAATCCGTTAGTCATAAGTTGTTTAGCATGCAATAATTATATCCATCTCTAGTTTTAAGATGTTTCTGCTCGCTTTGCTTTTTGGACAATTACTGCCACCCCATGTTCGGATGCAGACTGTGACCTATGATTGGAAATTGGGGAAGGTTTGCAATAGGAAAGGAAACTAGAAGGATATGAAATGGAGGAGAGTTATTTTACTTTTGTTTGTTTTGGGTGGAAAATAAGGAAACAGAAAAAAAAAAAAAAAAACCCATTATAATCCCATAAGTGGGGTCTGGGGGTGGAAAATAAGGAAATCAAGGGGGAAATGTTTGGCTTTCTTTCTCATGAATTTACTTTTACAGGTGCGCAGAGAAATAAGATTTATCCTTAAATTTTTTGTCCTTTTCTACTCAAACAAACAAGAGGAGGGAACATTTTCCCTTCTTTCTCTTCCTATCTATTCTTTCTGAGAAAAGTGTAAATTTCTTCACCGAACCAAAAGACGTTAATGTCCCAATTTGTCTGTTTCGGCCTGTGTACAGCCTTTGAAGTGGGAGCTCAAGCAGAAGCCTGGACTCAGCCCTCCACGTGGTGGGTTCAATCTTGATGATCCCAACCAACAGATAGTTGCTGAGGACATATTTGATGAGTACGGAGGTAACATCTTCTTCCCATGGCCAGTGGTAGCTCAGGTTAAATTCTTTTATAGTGTTTTATGTATATTGGATCCTAATGCCCTGTTTGATGTGCAGGATTTCTTACTGCGGATAATGTACCTGATTTGCTGGCCAGCTTATCAAGCAAACCAAATAAGAAAAAGAAGTCCAGTAAGAGCAAGCACAAAAAGCGGTCTTCACCAGCTAGACCAGATTTACGTGATCAAGAAGAAATTACTTCATCTTCGGATGATGATGATAGAGGAAGAACACTGAAGAAGAAAAAGCATAAGAAGAAGTCTGGAAAGCATTCTGTGTCTTCAGAGGACTCTGATAGCCATCGGAAATGTAGTAGTAACCGACAGAGACATTCACTGTCAACTAAGAGAAAGCATTCTGAGTCAAGTTCAGAGGACGATGATAATGACAGGCATCGCAAAAGGAGTAACAGACACAGACGTTCACATTCAAGTTCACCTGAGCGTGAAGATAAGGAACACAGGAAGAAGAATCATAATGAGTCAAGTAGGGGAAAGCATTCTAAGTCAAGTTCAGAGGACGATAATAATGACAGGCATCGGAAAAGGAATAACAGACACAGATGTTCCCGGTCAAGTTCACCTGTGCCTGAAGATAAGGAACACAGGAAGAAAAAGCATTCTGAGTCAAGTAGGGGAAAGCATTCCGAGTCAAGTTCAGAGGACGATACTAATGACAGGCATCGGAAAAGGAGTAACAGACACAGACGTTCACGGTCAAGTTCACCTGTGCCTAAAGATAAGGAACACGGGAAGAAAAAGCATTCTGAGTCAATTAGGGGAAAGCATTCCAAGTCAAGTTCAGAGGACAATGATAATGACAGGCATCGGAAAAGGACTAACAGACACAGACATTCACGGTCAAGTTCACCCGAGCCTGAAGATAAGGATCGCAGGAAGAAGAGTCGTCACTACCATCATCATCACAGTCGGCACAATCATTCTGATTATTCATGACGATGAAGTTATATCATCTAGCTGTTGCCTCCTATAAAAGAGCTCCAAAACCTACTAGTGATGCAAAAGCAGTAAAGGGAAAAATGGTGAGCCACGTTAAACCGATGGAAGGAAAGTAATCAGTCAAATCATGGAGTTAGCTTCTTGCACCTCTGTATCTATGCAATGTTTTCATCTTGTGTGGCTATCAAATTGGGATTCTTTGGCTTCCTTTTTAAGGTTACTAGCCCTTATGCTTCTCCTAATAGCAGAGTGAGTGCAAATTTATGGAGAAAAGTCCCAAAACAGTTGGGTATCTTTGGACTTGGGTTTAAAATGGTCCTATTTCTTATACATGAGGCACTAATATTCCATATTGTTTTATAAAGTGGTGCAGTTCCAGTCTTTGAACCAAACCACCGTGAGAACTCTAACGGAAGCCACATATCGCACGAGCCTCCATCACGTGTTTTTTTTCTTTCAAAAACAAGAGAATTCTCTCAGCATCTTTGGACAAAAACCATCGAACTTGTTCCCTTGTCCCAATTTATTAGAACCCTAGCTTGCAAATTGGTGATGATTTTAGCTGAAGAGAGCGAAATCTTGTGTGGAATTGCAACAACTGTGGCCAACTTGTCTCCACAAAAAAATGTGTGTTGCTTCGGTGCTAGAGAAAATGTCAAGAAAGAAGCATGCAATTGTCGATATAAGTTGTTATTTCATGGAAATAATGAAAACAATGCGGAGAATTACTGAAAGAAGTCTGTGAGACGTGTTTGTATGATTGTAAGTTTTGCGAGTAGTAGACTGAATTGTCATATTGTGGTAAACGAATTTGTTCTTTGAAAAGCTGTCTAAGCATTGAGTGTGTTGTTTGATTCTAGCTTAAGAGGAACCAGCTTCTTTAGAGCCTCCCTCACCTGAGGTATGGAATTCTCACGGTGTTTAGTTAAAAATATGGACTATATATTGTGCTCCATGTATGTATAAGAAAGAAATAGGGCTATTATATTGTTTTCCACATTTTGGAAAAGGGTTTTTGCAAAGACTTTGGGTGCCACTTCGGAGAGTGTATTTGTTTCAGTTGGTTCATCAGAAATGTTTGACGCGTCAATGCACCATGCAAAAGATTTGCTTTTTATGAGAAATTTCCCAAGACCAAAACTAAACTAATTATGCAAAAATTTCTATTCTATTATATATAAATGGTTAAGGGGTACGAACACAGTAATTAGAAGTTGTACAAAATTTTATCTGAATTGTACCTTAAATTTCGCTTTACTTAATTGGTTATTGAATCTTCTTGCCTTTCTTCTGTTGGACACGTGTATTACCAGTTCTCTTTTAGCAGCTCCTTTTACATTCTTTATTTTATAATTAGTACTAGTACCCGCGGACACTAATCATATCACATATTTAAGTTATTTGAATTGTATGTAAATAATCTTAAAACTTGCACTTTCTCAGTAAATATAGATAATCATTGGATATTAATTACATGGAAAAAATTAACCCTTTCTTCTATTTTTCCTTTTTTATATCATTTTTGCCGGTGTCATTGGATCCTAAAAATAGTCAGGAAGCAAAATAATAACTCATATTTATGGCAAAACAATCAAATGTTAAGACAATGAATGACTCTTTGGATAACACTTAACTCTTTTACTAGTACTTGAACTCTTATTTAGTGTGTTGATATCTCTTAAAAATATTTCTTTCTTAAAATTTCAGTTTCTAAAGCATTATTTTTTAATAATAATTATTTTTATAATAATGTCATTGAAAGTATTATTCTTAATTCAAAACTCATTTTAGTTGACTATCTAAAAATATAAAAATTTCTTTAGCTAGTGAATTTTTTTACTCCATTTTGATATTTGACACTAACCATGTTAAATATCTAAGTTATTTGAATTATATGTAAATAACCTTAACATTTAAACCTTCTAAATAATTATAGATAATCGTTAGATATTAATTAAGAAACACTACATGAAAAAAGACTAACATTTTCTCAATTCTCATAATGATAATTTTATTTTTGCACTATTCTCATAGGTGTCATTGGAACCTAAAAATAGCCACAAAGTGAAATAATAGCTCATATTTATGGCAAAACACAAAGATTGACACGATATAAGCGATTCTTTGATTACGATGTGACTCTTATACTACTACTTGAACTCTTATTTGATATTATTTTATCTTTCCNTATATATATATTATAATAATGATTATCTTTATAATGATGCAACTGAAGCTATTATCCTTAATTTAAAATTCACTTTAATCGGCTATCTAAAAGTTTAAATAATTTTTTGGCCGGATTTATTTCAGTATGACTCCACTTTAAGTTTATAGATATCTCTAGCCCCAGAATTTAAATTTTTAATACCCTATATATACAAAAAAAATTGTTCTTTGATCATTAAATGTTAAATTAGTTAATTATTATTATAAAACATTGCATATATTGTCTTAAAATGGTCAAGTAGTTTATTTTTCGACACCATACTTGTCTTAACCTCAATGCAAACTACTCAAATTGCATTCCAATTCAAATTTGAAGATCATATCAGTTTGTTAGTAATAGTGATTTTTAAAAAACGACACATAATGTAAATTAAAAAATATATTCTAAGATATCCTTATCTTATAATCTATGTATTTGAGTTGAAAAAAAATATATTTGAAATCGATGAGATTAACTTTCAAATTTTTTATACTCAACAAAGATGAAACATAAGAAGAAATTTATTGTCATCTTTTATTTCTGGTTTTTAGATCTTTCTAACAATTTTTTCAATATTTATTTTCTTTTATCTTATTTTTTATATTGTTATTTCTTTTGTTACAAAAAATTAATTTATTTCACTATAAAGGGATGAGTTTTAATAAAAATTGTCTACATATGAACTTTAATTACATCTTTAGTCTTTTCTTGAAATTATTTCATATTTTTGTTTTGGCTTTATCTAATCAGCCTAAATATGTGTTCATCCCACCACTTAAATTAAAAAATTGAATAGCATGTAATTTATATATAATCCATATATAATATGTGTATAATCATGTGTTGTCGGTATATCATCTATTTATATTATCTATAAAAAGTAAAAAATAAATATGACCGGATATTATGTAAATATTCCATAAGATTTCGGTTTTTTGTGTTTATCCATGATATAAATTCTATTATAATAATTTTAAAACTCTCTACTAATGTTCAAAAATATCTTATCTTTGAATTAAAAAAAATAAAGTGTTTTTTCGAAATAATTTGTTTACATTTAAAAAAACAATTCACGTCATACCAATTTTTTCTTTATATATACTCTTTGTTACACTTAAAAGTCGTTATAGAAACTATAAATTTGAAATCAGTTTCTCTCTTGTTGAGTTTGAAAAAAAAACTTTTCACATAATCTAATGATTCAAAACTAATACTCTTCAACGAAAAAAAATATTATACCCTTACAATATTGGCTTGACTACAGCTAAATGAAGGGGTTTCAGCTTATACCCTTCAATTTCTTGAATGTGCTAAATTGAAATTAATGATACCAATTGTATAACCAAAGTTTGTTATTTGTTTGATGTCTATTTATGCAAATTGACTCTTCAAACAAATATTCTTCAAGTAGCAAAAATAAACATTTTTTTAATACTGACTGATTTTGTGATGTTTCTTTCTCTAGCATGTATGTTTACTTTATTATATATCTAAGTAAACTTTTATTGGGTTTTGTAAACTCTTTTTTGTTATTTAGATAAACATAGACGTGTACCCTATATATTACATTTATTTTAAAAGAATTTCGTTTTATTCAAATCTAGCTACAGTGTTTCAAAGAAGTATACTTATATGATTTTAAATGTGAAAAGGTTTTATAGTTATATGGAGTGATTTTTTTTTGTTAGAGGCGAAGTACTATTTAAATAATTAGAAAAAATAACAAAAGTTCCTAACATGATTGCATATGATCATTAACCGAATTAAGTATGATAACATGATAAAAAAAGATAAATTTTATTTTTAATTTAAATTCAAATTTTAGAACTTTATCTATAAATTCAAAATTATCTTTTAATTCAAATACCGTATATATATATATATATAGATAGATTTCCCAAATACTCTCCTCTTTGTAGTGACGCGTTTCTAAAATTTGATGATGAATTGTGTGGAACAACTGGATTCCACCTTCTCCTCTCTACTGATTTTCAACTTCCATACCCATTTGTGTCATTTTTCCTTCTTCAGACCATTCATTTCTCTCTCTTTCTTGCTATGTTCCTTTCCGCTATTTTTTCTTATTTCTCTCTAGTCTGGGCTACCTCACATACATGATATTTGCTTTATGTTCTCCCTTTCTTCATTTGTGATTACAGGTTTGCTACTTCTTATTCTCTGTGCATGAAGATTATACTTCTGAGAATCAATTCATGTGTAAGGATCCTTATGTATAAAAAGAAAATGTTTAATTTCTAGAGCCAGAACAATTAGCAGCCCAATCAGGAGAAAGAGTTAATTTCAAGCCCTTGGGGTGCATTTATCTATTTTTTTTAAACAAAAATTTTAGTGTCTGTTTTTGTTTCTGTAATGATAACAGTCAGTTACTGATTTTGATACTTTATTTGTATTGAGCAGTTCTTCTTGGGTAAATACTTCAGCTTTAATAACGGGATATAAATTTTTAAAAATACTTCACCTCTAGATTCAATTTCTGTGACTGACTTGGCTTTCTTATAATTTTGCTTATGTATCAACTTGGTGCACACTGAGGCCTGAGGTTTCCAATATTTTTTAGTTCTATCCCTCAATATTGAATCGCGTAACATTATCAATTTTGTGAAGGCAATTGTCAAAGGAAACTGTATTGGGAAAAAACTGAGTTTATATTAAAGATATGTGGCATGACACGTGGATTAGTTAAATGGTCAAAGCGCAGCAATTGACTAAGAGGCACGGATGGAGACAGCCACGGGAAGAAGAATTTAAATAGGCACGAGACGACTTATAGATACGAGTCTCGTATCAATTTAAATTATTTACAGCCAACGGATTAGAAGGCATTGAAGGCAAAGATCTGATGACAGAAAGGAGTCCAAATTCATTATTAAATACTTGATAC